GGCACGGGCGAAAGCCTCCATCTGCGGGCTGTGAGCCAGCAGTGCCACAGCCGGCGCCCTGCCCGGCGGCGTGGGGCCGGCCACGCAGGCCCCGGAGCCTGCCGCTGAGGGGACTGCTGTGCTCTTTCCAGCGCTGCTTCGTGTGCGGGAAGATGGGCGCCGCCATCGCCTGCCGGGAGAAGGGCTGTGACCGCAGCTTCCACCTCCCCTGCGCCTCAGAGGGTGAATGTGTCACCCAGTTCTTTGGGCTGTACAGGTAAGGGCTGCCCGCCCTCGTGCAGGAGCCTCCTCGTCTTCACGCCCCCTCCTGCCAGCAAGTGGGGAACCCCCCGCGACACTTCCCAGCAGCCTGCCGCAGCCAGAGCCCGAGCCCAGACAGGGTCTGCAGCTCCTTCACAGCTGCTCTGCCCTCTTCGCCATCGCCATTGCCAGGAAGGGCTCAGCACTTCTCACCTCACATCGCCCACCCCTTCCATCTTCCCCCCAGGTCCTTCTGCTGGCAGCACCGCCCAGAGCAGGCAGTGCAGGCCACTCCGGAGCACAACAGCACCTGCATCATCTGCCTGGGCCTCGTGGAGGACAAGAAGTCCTACCACACCATGGTGTGCCCCGCGTGCCAACGCGCCTGGTTCCACCGGAGCTGCATTCAGAAGCAGGCAATCCACGCTGGTGCCTGCTTCCGCTGCTTGCGTTGCCAAAACAAAGATAAGTTTGTGATGGAAATGCTCAGCATGGGGATTCGGGTCTCCAAGAGGTTGGTTCTTCTCTCCCCACCTCACAAGATGTCAGGTGCAAGCGTGGTGCCAGGCCAGGGACTGCCCTGGCAGGCCTGGCCTTCTGCTGTCCCCCGACTCCTGTGCTCTGCTTGACGGAGGGGCTGGAGACGGGGTGGGGGCAGTAGGGCGGGGATGGCCTGCATCGGCCTGCATCTGGGACAGCAGGGCCACAACACTTTCCCTTCCTTCTCCAGCAGGCAACCGTCACAGGAGAGCGCCCCAGCCTTTAGGCTGGTCTATCAGAGGCCCACCCGCTGCAATGCCCGCAAGTGCCTTTGTCTGGGAGGCAGGGAGCAGGCAGAGGAAGAGGGGTGAGTTGCCCAAGCAGCAACCTAGGGCTCTGCACGGGATCTCTGTCTCCCCACGTGCTTGGCGAGGAAGGACTAAGAGGAAGGGTTCTGCCGGGCATTCCCTTGCTTGCGTCACTTTGTCCTCACACAGCCCGCAACCCCTTTGCTTTCCCAGGTCCTGGCAACTGCTACTGTGCAGCTCCTGTGCTGCCAAAGGCAGCCACCGCGT